CCTGGCTCACAAAGTGATTAATGCGAGCTTGCAAAAGGGAGACAGCGATCCAAACGCGTAATGAGCAGGGAGCGATTGTTGATTTCAATTAGCCCATCCGTGACTGGAAATTTGAGCTGAAATTCCGGGGCCTCTGGTCGCACGTGAACATGGAATGGCTTTGCTTCATTCGGAGGGCGGAGAGCATCATTTGACCCCCGTCCGTCGGAACACCAGTGCTTGATCTGTGCTGCTGCTGCTACTATACGTGTGGGGAGGATTTATTGGACTTTACTGGAGGAGGAGATGGATGGACCCGTGGGTAGGAGTGTGTGTGTGTGCGTGATTTTTTTAGATTTATGCGTCAAGAGCTTTTTTGCACTTTTTCATCGAAATATACTAATTTATAGGGGCGATGATGGAGAGAGAGTTATGTGGACAGGTTAAAGGATTATGCGTTCGACAAAATTGCAAAATGTCGTTCCAAAAAGCTTGTCATGCGGCATTTTTTTTGGTTACTGTTCCGAATGAAATGTAGTTTTTTGACAAATAAATGCTCATTTAGTCACATTAGGCGCTAAAATCGTCATTAATGTATTATCAATGTCATCAGTTCATGTGAAATCAACTAATATACTGCTGTTCCATTTTTTACTAAGTATATGACGTTCACTTGGTAATACGCTAATATTAATCATAAGTATATGCTGAAAGATATTAATTCTAAGTAATATGGCAATGCTAGGAAAAAAATTCTTGTTTTTTTTATTTTTTGAAGCATTCAAGTTACGCTTTTTTATGCTGAATCTCTAATCTCTAGATACTATTGGTTTATCTTTAACCCAACAAACATAATTTTTCATATTTCCACTCTTTTTACTCAACCTCGTAAAAATTTATACATTTTTAAGGATAAAATTTGATGTGGATGGCATATCCTTTGGAAAAAAATATGTAAAATGTGATTAAATTTGAACTATTTTTTTTACAGAATTTTTCCTACAAATTCTTTACTGCAGTGGAGATTGTAAATTAAGAAATACCAATTTTAAATATAGATTCTCTGCTTATTACTAATCTGATATCTAACTTTAAATCTTATGCAGTTTTCATACATGATAAACATATTCTATGCATACTTTTTTCTCACAAAGTTATTTAAATTTAATGGAATTTCTTTTTAATTTCAAAACAAAAGCGACTAAACGCGTATAACATACTTTAGACGCGTTAGGTGTGGAAACTTTTATTAAAAGCGTCCACAAGCTAGATCTCAAGTTTACATTGAGTAAGTTTTCTTTCTTTTTTTTTTTTTTTCTTTTTTCTTTTTTCTTTTTTTCTCCCTCTCTTTCTCATTTTTCCTGCTTTGTTGTACAGGATTTTTACATTTTTTCTTTCTTACTTAAAAATCTTTATAACAACAATACACACTTGAGTTTTGACCTCTTCTCCAAAGTACTTAATTTTTTAATACCTAAATATGATTTTCTTATGAGAATCCAGTTTTGAAAAAACTATGATAAGAACGTGAAAAAATGAGTTTTTTGCTAGTCATCTAATATTATTGCTCTCCAAGAGAGGGAATAAAATATATTTTAAATAAATCTGCCAGGGTTGAGATACATGGCTCTGATTCATCAAATTATTGGGTGTTATCGTATTTTAACGATTTTTCTTCAACCAGAGACGAACTATCTCGTATTACCACCTTGAAAGTAAAGCTGGATATAAATAAGGTTCGTTGAGATTTACGACAGCTTAGTCATTACGGAAGAGAAAATCGAGCTGAAAGAATTAATTGCAAATAAAAGCTAAACTTTTCGAGCTTGCGCCTCTCCTCCGAACCTGATCGTCTCCATAAATCTTTTCTTTGGAAAATTTAAACTAAATAAATAATCTAGCGTAAATGAAAGGTTGAATTTTTCTGACAGCTGGAGATTATTGATTATTTTAAAACATTATTAAATTTCATAACTATTTCATGTGTACATTTTTATTTTTTCATATTTAAAAAAATTTTTTTGTCCATTACTATTTTTTCTTTCTTTCAGAGAAATTACAGTCAAAAAGGAAACGCCTGCGGCCCCATGTAAAAGTTACCTCATTAGTTGAACTTAGGAAATTACGTTATCAGTTGGGAGTCTAAAATAATATTATTAATCATTATTTTATGAAAGCAAAATTTTATCACAGAAACGTAGAGAAAGCAGCTAATGTGGACTTGTTTTGAGTCAGTGCCAACGATATAAAAGCGAAAGCGTGAAAAATATATGGGTAGTATGGGGTGTATATGGGTATAATCAAGACAAAAATCCAGAATCATTAGTTAATAAGTGAAAAAATATAGAAGTGTTCCAGAGACGAAGACAAAGACTCAAAAAACATACTCCTTGATTAACAGTTGTGATATAAAAAAATCAGAAACGTAATATACATTATATACGTAGATAAATAAACACAGCTTTGTTTTTTAGAGACACATACCAATAAACAAATATGCAGTGACAAATGGCTAAAGATAGAGTCGCAAAGGTAAATGTGTCTATGTAAAGTCATAGAAACAAAGATCTGGATCTTTAAGGCTGAAACGTCACACTGAGAAATAAAGATTTATATTCACAGTAGATATGAGACTACGAAAAAAACAACACAAATAGCATAATGAGAAATTAAGATACAAACACCGTGATTCAGAAATTCAGAGACAACGAGCCATAAAAGAAGAGATTTAATGATAATCAGACAACAACTTTGTCATGATAATTTGAAGAAACAAAAGATATTACATTTAATGACATTGAAGTGAATATGCAGAGTAAGATAGGCAAACAAACAGACGGTCATACAAGTACTAAAACAAAAACACAAAAACAAAAAATTTAGGATTTAATACTGACATCAAAAGGCTTATGGTAACATGAGAAAACTCATAAATAGTAACATAGACTTCAATACAGTAACTTGGCATTATATGAAAGCAATCAAGTAGAAAAATACTTCAGAAATTAGTAAAGAATGTACCATATTGCATGCGTAATTCCAATGCAAACGTGCGATCTGAGAAATATTTATTTCCATTCGGTGGTGGGTGCAGAATGTTATACGTGCTTCGGTATCCAGAAATCTGGCACGTACAAGATATTTTTTTAAGAGGCTCAAAAAATGGTTAAAAATAGTAAATGCACGTCAGGCTTTAATAGCCTTGCTTATATTGCAAAGAACCACAATAACAGTAAAGTACACAAAAACGGTACACAACAGACTAAATGTTTACTGTAGTACCAAACTCGAATTTTAAAGAAGCTAATAAATTAAGGAGGTCTTATTTTTTCTGAGTACTTATAAAGAAAAAATTTATATGATTGGTAATATTTTAACTTTATCCTTTAGTTCTAAAATCATGAGCCGTCTTACTAGGAGATTATAGAGGAGACTATTTGTTTTAACTCATTTTTTTCGTAAAGCTAAAGAGAAGATAAACATAACTAAAAATTATGACACTTATCACAAGACTTCGTACATGAATTTTAAATAAAAACAGGTAATTAATTACCATTATTTTTTTTCATCTTTAACATCCAAGTTACATATTTTTGTAATGAACATTATCCTCTGATCCCTTGAGAGCTTTATTAAACACCTAACGAAACACCAACAAAATAAGCTTTAGAGCAGCATGAAGAGGAACGCATAAAAAAAAGACAAAAAAAACAGGAAAGAAAGTAAAATTAATACGAAACCTAAGGTAATGCAGTCGGTTTGCAAAATCTGCCGGAGGTGCTCGAATCAACTTTATATTTATGAGATTCGCGATGTCGCTTGTTCTGCATGCTTGGCTGCTAAAAAGCTCCCAGGCAAACCTAAATAAAACTAAAAAATAAAACTATGAATTGATTTTCAATTTGGAGTATTCATTTCTAGTGGCATTGATAAACATGAACTAACTTTAAATTTTAACTTTTTTTTTTTTTTATTAAAAATATTTAAATTTTTTGGTAGGTTGATTGGCAAGACAATTGTAAACACAATTATTTTTATTTTCTAGAATCAAGAGTTGGATTTCTTTTATAAACGTCAATGATAATTTTTATACGACGTTTTATTCTTACTGAAAGTATATGCAAGTGTCGATTTTCAAAATACAACATCAGTAACATGCACATCTAACAGTAATGATCACAAAAAACTTTACTGGATTTAAAATTTACTCGCGATATTTTCTTGTCCCGGGGATGTCGCACCAATAACGGAAACTGGTCATGATTTTCAAAGGGAGTGATTTACCGTCTCAGGTGAAAAAAGCGTAAATGTAATGTTTTTCTTATGGCACATACGCCTTTTTTTCCCGGGACGGCAGCAATATATTCAACTAATGATGATCAGGAATAATTTTATTAATACAATATTGGTGTACCTTATCAGAAAAAAAAATTGAACTTTGGGAAGCTTTTCACTATAAGCCTACGATATTTAACCGTACAACGCTGAAAGTACAAAGTAGCATTCAATGTGTCCTCTTTTACTTTTATAAATTACAGTGCAGAGCAAGCATATTCACACCTAATCACGGTAAAATATCAAAACACAACTAATGTCAGTATCTAAACTTATAATATTGTTTAGATTATTGACAAATTTTTGCAGAAATGATTCAACATGGCATGGTTTTCCCTCTCAGTCAGGTACGAAATGTCATTATGTCTCTAACTTATACACGATAAGTTTTCTCTACTTATTGTAACATACCTAAATCTGACTCCAATTCTTTCTCTTCCACTCACATTTAATCACGATAATCTATCGATCAACATTAATCTCGTGCTTACATTGCAACCATTACTATTTGTACAATATACTTTCAATTTGTGCCATCAAATATTGTCCATCGCATTTTAACGAATCTTATTACCTAGCATTTATATAACAAGGAAATTTCTTGTTTGGTGAATCCTTTTTACCTCGCATTTTCCAAGCATGTACAGTTTTAATCTATAAAATGTTAAAGGTAAAAATCAACATACCGTTTGGAGAAGCGATTCAAAAGCTTGCCGAGACTGCGAAAGTAATGAGGAGCAGTCACGTAGACGTAGGCAGGCTGATCGTCGTTGATGTATTCACGATAACGATCGTGATTGTACAGATCGGCAGTAGCGTTATCCAGGGTCAAATTTAGCAGCATTCCCCACCTTATCTAACCAAGGTATGACGTCATTCAAATTAATGATCAAATTAAATCCCAGTTATTCAAGCCAGTGAACTAAGATTTTCTTACTCACATAACCGAAACTCTCTTGCAAGTACGAAAGATTGTACGGTACGTAGATACGTTGATCGATGTCGATCCAGTTGTAAATGTCCTTGTGTCTGGGGTATATCTATGCAAAGAAAAAGAGGTCCACGATTATCATTATAAACAGTAAAACATGTAAATACCGATGGACTGAAATTTATCACAAAATACGCGAGTTGGCGTAAAATGTATGTATCAGTAAAATTTATGTATCAGCCTAAAGTTTATGTATCAGTTAATAATCGAATAGTTTATATATCGAATTGTAATTCTCATTCTGGTTAATTTTTGCGATTCTCACCTTGTTGAGAGCCAGGCAGAATTGAAGCAGTTTATCGGCCTCCGACGATCTCTCCTTCGGTTCCATGTCACTGGGTATCAGCCCTTGAATGATCTTCTGTATTTTGTCGGAGCGCTTCTCCTCTCGGCTATTCTGCAACACGATGAGGGAAAAAAAAAAAAACAAAAAAAAAACAAACGAAGGAAGGAAGAAAAATAAGTAGCACGAGTCGGGCGATAAAGACGATGCTTCATACTTGGAAAAACGCCCGAGAAACTAGTGTTGGCCAAAAACCCTTTACTTCGTACAGCATATTTTTTTCTATTTTTTTGGCAATGCGCCTTGTAGAAGATCCAAATTCCTCCCTAAGGACCGTGAGCTAATTCATTTGACTTTATTTACGAAACTAGAAGTTGTTACGTAACACACAAATTTCCTGTCCCTGAGGCTTTCCTCAGAAGACTCCGTTTGTACATAATGAAAGGAGATACTTCATCAAAGGATCGAATACTTATTAAGTAGATTATGAACTTGATGAGACAGTGAATTGTTATCGTTAAGGTTTATGATTGAGCGGAACCATCGATCGTACAGTGGAGGTACTTAAAGAGTTTTATGAAATTCGAATCGAAGATAGAATATAAGTTTAGGTATTTTAATTATTAAAGATAATTTATTTTTAAATATCTATTTTTCCTATTATTGCACTTAAAAAATTCTAAGTTTTATAGTAAAATAAATCATTGTTGTGAATTTATCATCACTACTACAAATATTAAAAAAAAATTTATAGTACGAAATAGATGAAATTTACAGGTATTACCAAGAATATCTTTTTGCGAGAAAAAAAACTAAACAATTTTTCTGCACATGCATATCAACTTATTATGTTCATAATAATCAGTTAAAGTGAATTAAAGTTAAAAAGATCAGAACTTCATAGAATAATATTCACATGCAGGGAAAACTTTCTTAACAGACCTCCAAAACTCTTGAAGATGATATTTCTTCAATCTACATTAAGTACTGCTTTTTTGGTGCGTAAGTAGTCAGCCTTCCTATCTTGTAAGCACATATGAATGACAAATAATCAGTTGCATCGAGCAAAAATCTTTCGCAACGATGCTGCTTGAATTATCGTTAAGTACTACTCCTAAGGACACGGTTGTGCAATAACGTCTGCAAAGTATTGAGTTTTAAAACTTGGTAAACTGGGATAACTCTGTCCCTCTTCAACTCTTCAAAGAGGATTTTTAAGGCTCAGTCGAGACGAAACAGCTCTGTATGCAAACTATGCTAACTAAACCAATATCCGCACCATCTCTTACAGCACCACAAGCTTGCGATATGTGTATAACACGGGGTGAGAGTACAAGCACGAGCTTCATGTATACCAAATCCATCAGTGGAATGAATGTTGAAAGACAGTTGGTGTGACATTTGGCTCAAAAAAGTTGGCAAACAGAAATAGTTCACGGTTGCTTCCACGTGATGTCGGACAGGTGGACGTACTGCACCATAAATTTTGTTTGAATTGTTTTGGCGCACACCTACGATCCGGCAGACGGGACAAACGCAAGAGAACGAACTGAGTGATTTATGGGGTGCAGAGTTTCCTTGCGATACTTAAGGAAACATTTGATTCGGTGGGTGATTTCTCACTTTCTGGTTTTTGTTTCTCGTCTATCGTGATTTTTGTTTCAAGAAAACAAATAGACTTTGTTTTTTTTTTTTTTTTTTTTTTTTTTTTTTAAAAAA